AAATTGATGCTATCATTGTTCGAGATACACATACAAAATTTAGAAAACCTCTTTACAATCCCTTTAAGACGACAAATATCCGAAAAAATGTAATGTAATCTAATTTTGATTAGATTGGCTGTCAGCCTACTGATGACCACAATTTTATAATATTGCTATTCTATTGCCAGATATATCAGGAAGGGTGGAGGTAAACCGGCAACTAAATCTGTAAAACTAGTATTGACTATAGTCACAGTAACAGAACTCACCCAGGAATATATCTGTATCATCGGTAATCAACACGGTACCATCAACAAAACTTTCATCGTCACAGGTAACAACTTTCTCTTTCCCTTTCAATATAAATATTTGAATAAGTATGTAGCCGGTAAATTACAGATAAAGATATACAGTTATTGTTAAATGGAATTTTTTTTAGCAATGCCCTCTATAGAGATGATGAAACCACGAAAATCAAATTTTACAGTTGGACAGCAGATTAGTTTTCGATGTGACGTAAACGATATTTTAACAGGACTGAAACAGGTCAGGTCATTTTTCCTTTTTATTGTTTTTTTTTACCTTCACGCTATATGTCACACTGTATTACCGTCACACTTATTTTATACTACATTACCGTGACACTTATTTTATACTACATTACCGTGGCACTTATTTTATACTACATTACCGTCACACTTATTTTATACTACATTATGCTATGCCACACTAAATTAACGCCATGCTATGTCACACTAAATACCTGTAAAGATTTGTTACTAATGAACTGTTACGGTATGTTACACTCATTCCTTTACCGTGATGCCTGGTCAAGCTACATTACTGTCACTATATGTTAGACTACTTGACCGTCACGCTATACAGCAAATACTTTACTAGCACTCTTTTACACGCTACATTACTGTCACGCTATGTTACACTACTTGACCGTCACGCTATACAGCAAATACTTTACTAGCACTCTTTTACACACTACATTACTATCACGCTATGTTACACTACTTGACCGTCACGCTATACAGCAAATACTTTACTAGCACTCTTTTACACACTACATTACTATCACGCTATGTTACACTACTTGACCGTCACGCTATACAGCAAATACTTTACTAGCACTCTTTTACACACTACATTACTATCACGCTATGTTACACTACTTGACCGTCACGCTATACAGCAAATACTTTACTAGCTCTCTTTTACACACTACATTACTATCACGCTATGTTACACTACTTGACCGTCACGCTATACAGCAAATACTTTACTAGCACTCTTTTACATACTACATTACTATCACTCTATGTTACACTACTTGACCGTCACGCTATACAGCAAATACTTTACTAGCTCTCTTTTACACACTACATTACTATCACTCTATGACTGACTAAATTACCGCCACGTTTTATCGCCCTGGATTATCGTCACGCTTCACCAATGTAATTGTTAATTTTTACCTTTATATGTTGATATTTGACACTTAATCTCTCATAATCCTGATAATCACGAATCAAATTTTGTATTCCTTAAAGGGATACTACGTCTTAGAATAAAGATAAAATTGAAAATTTTTAAACTTGGCCAATAAGAGTTTATTATTATATTCATCAGAAGATATACCTGGTGTCATAAATAACATAACAGGATCCTTATATAATCTGATAAATCTAAAAAACGATAAAAATGCTATTAACTATTGAAAAAACGCTTAATATTATTTTTCAATAATTACATTACAATTTTTTAGATTTTACATGGATTCTGTTGTAACTTTATGACACCATGTCAGCTAACTGACGAATATATACTCATATTGACCATTCTTGAGAATTAAATTTTATGTTCATTCTTAGACGTAGTATCACTTTAATCATAATAGGTACTCTGGAAATATGAATATAAAGATTCACCACCAATAATTCTCAACAATCATTCTGATAGTGAACAAGGTTTCAATATTCATACAGTAGCCGAGTCATCCACATTGGAGCGCTCCGAACTACAAATCTGGGAGGCGAGGTTTGAAGACCAAGGAAGATATACTTGTGCTCATCAAAACAATGGATATGAAATTTCTGCTTCTAAATACATCACAGTTAAAGGTATGTTGCTGTTGTTTTTCTAACATGTCAAGATCTGAGTTCATATCTTAATTCATCTGAAAACTACTGTCTCAATCATTGTATAGACAAAGATATACGAAAGAAATAATAATTTACGTGGATTTGACTGTCAAGATAGGTTCTTAGCACTGATTTTATCTGTATTGCCAATACCAGCTTGGTCAAGTTTCCTAATCAGAAAAGATAGTCATATAAATTGCAACTCCCCGAGTCTTCACATCGAACTACCAACAACTACCTAGTTTGCGATATCAGCATCCGCTGAAAGCGAACGTTAACTAATTACCTACCAACAACTACATAGTTTGTGATATCATCATCCACTGGAAGCGAACGTTAACTTGTCATCTACCAACAACTACCTAGTCTGTGATATCAGCATCCACTGGAAGCAAAAGTTAACTTGTCATCTACCAACAACTACCTAGTCTGTGATATCAGCATCCACTGGAAGCAAAGGTTAACTTGTCATCTACCAACAACTACATAGTTTGCGATATCAGCATCCGCTGAAAGCGAACGTTAACTTGTTACCTACCAACAACTACATAGTTTGTGATATCATCATCCACTGGAAGCGAACGTTAACTTGTCATCTACCAACAACTACCTTGTCTGTGATATCAGCAACTTGTAATCTACCAACCAACCTTCACATCGTTGCAGAGCTTGTCAGTCATTTGATTTTCACACCTACGCTATATCTATATCACAAGAATTACGTCGGCACTTTAATCGAGGATTTGTCTCATGTTTGACAGGTCCTCCAAACATAACGACTACAACCGAGACTGTTTCTACAAGAATTGGCGAGAGTGTTCAGTTGGTATGTAACGTCACTTCCCGTCCTAGATCACAAGTCATCTGGTATCGACGAAACCAACAGATTGATAGGTAAGGTTAGGAGTATATATCTAGATGTATTTGGTAAATCTATAATATTTATAATATTTCAAAAGCATGTAAAACTGAATGTTATAGTTAAAGAATTTCACAAACTACTCTTTTTATTAACATTTTATCTGTGCACTAAAGGGAGCCGCGAATTCTGGGGTTTATCAACTAGACATCCAAAGAGAATCCACATAACTAATATTGTATATGTTGATGTAAGAATGGATCAAATAATATGACTCTTTTCAGTGGTAAACTTCGAGTAGAAACAAGAGTAGTTGATGGTATTTTCGTCACTTCCGTCCTGTATATAGATCCTGTAAGACAGCTAGGAACTACCTATAGATGTCAAGCCAGGAATCCTTATGGTACCGTCAGTCGTAATATATCTACTGTAGGTAGGTTGCTAGCTCTTTTATTCCGCCATTTAAGTCATGGTAGCTCAAAAAATCGTTGTAAAAACTGAACTCGTCTTTGGAAATCAAAATGTTTTGTATGTTTTTTTTTTATTTGTGTATTAAGGGGACCTCACATCATAGTGATTACTAGTTGTATATGGTTGTGAATAATGCAAGTGGTCATGAATACCGCAAGCAACTCATAGGCTGGATGAGAGTTGCGTTCGAAACTTATGATAGCTATTCTTGTTCGCAAACATTCGCTATGGTGTCAGATCTTCCTCAGGCTAGATAGGTCTAGGAAGTAATGGTTGTAATTTTGTGATATTGACATACTTGAGAAAGCACGGGCAGAGGAAGAGGTTCTATTTATCTTGAAGGTTATTGGAGATTGTGAGGCCATTATCAAGTTGAATTGTCTTTTAGAAAAGAAGAAGGAATATAAACCGGAGGCTGTTGATGGTACGGCTGTCGGTGTCGCAGTCGTTTTGATAATTCTTGCCGTAGCTGTAATCTCTGTGGTTGTTGCTATGTTGTGGAAACGGGTAAAGTTGTTAAGATATCAAACTTATATACTATTATATGGCAACCTTTGAGACATGGGAATTCCTTCACCGTCCCCACCCCTTATTTTCAGATTTATGTATTTATTACAAGTTGAGGATATCCATGAGCTACTTTCGAATATTCCTTGCCCCCCCCCCCCCCTCCCCCCAATCGACATATTATTGTCACCTTTCTCTTCCAGAGGCGAAGAACTGAGATTCCTAAGATGAATCCAGCTTTAAACTTGATAAACAGATATAATATACACTCGAGAAGCAACTCGTGTAGTTTGGTTAGTTCAGTTATATATTGTCTTAAATGTTAAAACATTGACAGACCCGTATCCAGACTTGATCGTTCCATGGTACAAATAATATACCCGGAGTGACAAGTAATATATCCGGAGTGACAAGAAGTATATCCGGAGGGACAAATAATATATCCTGAGGGACAAGTAATATGTCCGGAGGGACAAGTAATATATCCGGAGTGACAAATAATATATCCGGAGTGACGAGTAATATATCCGGAGTGACAAATAATATATCCGGAGGGACAAGTAATATATCCGGAGTGACAAATAATATATCCGGAGGGACAAGTAATATATCCGGAGTGACAAGTAATATATCCGGAACGACAAGTAATATATCCGGAATGACAAATAATATAACTGGAGTGACAAGAAGTATATCCGGAGGGACAAGTAATATATGTGGAGGGGCAATGGGGTATAGTGTTTGGTTGGTTGGTATAATGGAATTTCGCGGTTATCAGAATTGTTTTTTGGGGGGTGGTGGGGAGGAGATCCCACTTTGTCCCCTGTAGCTACGGGCCTGACCCTTGATCACTTATTGATCTCATTTTTTTATATTTACATTATAGATACCTTCTTGTTTCACATACTTCTGCATTTCACCTGATGAATGTAAATTGTTGAAACGTTGATTGCAATCAAACTTACACTCACTTATTTACTATAAAAATTATTCAGGGTTATGAAAACGATGGCTTAGAAATAGACCCAGAAGACTTCCCTAGATGTCGGTTGAAGTTTAAAGATAGATTAGGAGAAGGGAAGTTTGGTAAAGTCCTGAAGGCTGAAGCTTTGAGTATCTGTAAGAGCGGAAAATGGGAGACAGTGGCGGTTAAAATGTGGAAAGGTTTGTCTTATTTATCATTTTTTCTGTGATAACTGGGGACTTTATATCAGTGTAGTGTTATATATCTATCTGATAGAAAGTAACTTTGAGAACCTAAGTTGTTATTCTTGTAAAGATCAATGCCAAGAGGTTTAGTCATGGACCAGCTGGAAGACAGGATCCTTGAGAACCCAAGTTGTTATTCTTGTAAAGATCAATGTCAAGACGTTTGACCATGGACCAGCTGGTAGACAGGTCCCTTGAGAACCCAAGTTGTTATTTTTGTAAAGATCAATGTCAAGAGATTTGACCATGGACCAGCTGGAAGACAGGATCCTTGAGAACCTAAGTTGTTATTCTTGTAAAGATCAATGTCAAGACGTTTGACCATGGACCAGCTAGAAGACAGGATTCTTGACATCCTAAGTTGTTATTCTTGTAAAGATCAATGCCAAGACGTTTGACCATGGACCAGCTGGAAGACAGGATCCTTGAGAACCTAAGTTGTTATTCTTGTAAAGATCAATGTCAAGACGTTTGACCATGGACCAGCTAGAAGACGATTCTTGAGAACCCAAGTTGTTATTCTTGTAAAGATCAATGTCAAGACGTTTGACCACGGACCAGCTAGAAGACAGGATCCTTGAGAACCTAAGTTGTTATTCTTGTAAAGATCAATGTCAAGACGTTTGACCATGGACCAGCTAGAAGACAGGATCCTTGAGAACCTAAGTTATTATTCTTGTAAAGATCAATGCCAAGACGTTTGACCATGGACCAGCTAGAAGACAGAATTCTTGAGAACCTAAGTTATTATTCTTGTAAAGATCAATGTCAAGACGTTTGACCATGGACCAGCTGGAAGACAGGATCCTTGAGAACCTAAGTTGTTATTCTTGTAAAGATCAATGTCAAGACGTTTGACAAAGGGCCAGATGTAAGTCTCCCCAGCGTCCTTATAAATAATATTGTTTTCTATACATTCTAGATACAGCTACTGATGGCGAGAAAGAAGATTTTTACCACGAGCTGATGATCGTCAAGAAAATAACACATCATCAAAATGTAGTGAAATTCCTGGGTTCATCCAAATCTATAGGTATTTCTCCTTCTTTTCCTTCACCTCACTTTTTCTAGACTCAACATCCGAGCAATTTGAATACAGGAACTGTTATTATGACGAATATTTTATGTTATGTTTTTGGAAACGCTTAATCACCTATATGCATAGGTATTCTTAAAACACTGGAATAAAACGACTACAGAATCTACAATTACAATAAATCTGTCTACACTTGCAAACATAAATTACTAAAACAACACCTGATATATATAAACCCAATGATAAGAAATTTGAAACTTTTTGTGGAGTACAAAGACAGGTGGGCCTCATTTCGAGGCGGGGAGACATAGTCACCCCTCTCCTGCCATGGAGAAACGCCACTAATTCTATTAGCTCAGTGTTGATTTCCGAATATCAGCTGATAAAGCCAATATTTAGTCGATTGTTTTTCTTTCAGGGTCCGATCCAGTGTTGATGATTATGGAATTTGTATCGGGAGGAGATTTACTTCGTTTTCTCCGAACCAAGAGAACTTATTATAACCAGATAGCCGAGGAGGTGGAACAACAGAAATCAGGTGCCACACCGGACGACACCGGGTCTCCAGAAATAACAGTCGACAGTCCGAAAATACCAAGAGCAGCAGAATTGACAATTCAACCAGATTTAACACCTAAAGATTTACTGTGTTACAGTCATCAGATAGCTAAAGGCATGAGCCACATCGCTTCACTGGAGGTTAATATTTACCATTATTGACAAATCGATATCCGTATTTAAATAAATCATTTCTAAACTTCAAGTGCGCAGCTGCATCAGTCGCCATAATAAATCCGAAACGATGGAGGGTCTGAACGTGTTACACATGCCAATGTTGAATATCGAAGATTATACGCATTGACAGAAACATCTTTTATATCACTATATCTGGCCTTACTGTGGCCCAATCAGTTTATCATACAGGTTAGTTTACCAATACCCCCACGTACAAGGCGCTCGCTATTTAACCAAATAAACAGTGACATTGGAGACTATCAAGTGAGGTAATTAGTCTTCAATGATCGGGGGTTATATGGTAGATTCATTTCAGCGGATCGTGACTCGACAGAGCTGAAGATGACCTGATGTAGCAGCCCAGAATAGATTTTTTGTTTGTTAAATTTTAGATTATCCATCGTGATGTAGCAGCTAGGAATATTCTTATCAGTGACAATAATATCTGTAAAGTTTCTGATTTTGGTCTAGCTCGAGATGTAGAGGGCGCCGATGAATATGAAAGGACTACCAAGGTGAGGGGTTAACCCTGATTGTGTTAATACTGATCACAATTTCCTTTACCTTATTGGAGTAAGCCATTGTAACTTGGTTTTCTTTTTGTTGTAATTTGGTAGTTTGTAGATAACCAATTTTACTACTTCTTGGTGCCTAGCTCCAAATTAGGGGTAAGCTTTTCCAAATCCAATAGGTTTAATATATAAATAGCTACCAGGAATATCCATTACAAACTTCAGAATATATTTTGGTATTCGTCTTTTTTCTCTGGTGGCTTGTAGATTATTTAAGAGCACAAGTTATATGGATATACTACTTCTAGGTGTATTACATACTAAGTTTAGAAACACATACAGGTAACATTAAAAACACAAGTTATATATAGATATACTACTGCTAGGTTTATTACATACAACTTATAGAAACACATACAGGTAACATTAAAAACACAAGTTATATATAGATATACTACTTCTAGGTTTATTATATACTACGTATAGAAACACATACAGGTAACATTAAAAACACAAGATATATAGATATACTACTTCTAGGTGTATTACATACAACTTATAGAAACACATACAGGTAACATTAAAAACACAAGTTATATATAGATATACTACTTCTAGGTTTATTATATACTACGTATA